TCTGTACCGTCCTGACATTTGGGGGATATCTGTACCATCCTGACATTTGGGGGATATCTGTACTGTCCTGACATTTGGGGGGATATCTGTACCGTCATGACATTTGGGGGATATCTGTACCGTCCTGACATTTGGGGGATATCTGTACTGTCCTGACATTTGGGGGATATCTGTACCGTCCTGACATTTGGGGGATATCTGTCCTGACATTTGGGGGATATCTGTACTGTCCTGACATTTGGGGGATATCTGTACTGTCCTGACATTTGGGGGGTATCTGTACCATCCTGACATTTGGGGGATATCTGTACCGTCCTGACATTTGGGGGATATCTGTCCTGTCCTGACATTTGGGGGATATCTGTACTGTCCTGACATTTGGGGGATATCTGTACTGTCCTGACATTTGGGGGATATCTGTACCGTCCTGACATTTGGGGGATATCTGTACTGTCCTGACATTTGGGGGATATCTGTACTGTCCTGACATTTGGGGGATATCTGTACTGTCCTGACATTTGGGGGGATATCTGTACTGTTCTGACATTTGGGGGGTATCTGTACCGTCCTGACATTTGGGGGATATCTGTACTGTCCTGACATTTGGGGGGATATCTGTACTGTTCTGACATTTGGGGGATATCTGTACTGTCCTGACATTCTTGGACCTCAAGAAATTTGATTGGCTGTCAGTACTTCAGGATTGATCAATATTCAGATCTATCCCATAGTTTGTGAAACTCTATAACTTCCCTACAAACTAAATAATACATCCTAATTTGGGTTATTTTCCCCAAAGACATGGAGCAGAATACATCTCGGCCTAAATTTATGAAGAACAATTATTTATTTGCAAACTTTTATAACAGAAACAAAAGAAAAACGTGTTTTTTTTTCAAAATGTTTGGTCTTTTTTTGTTAATTTAGCAAAAAATAAAAACCCCAGCGGTGATTAAATACCACCAAAAGAAAGCTCTAGTTGTGTGAAGAAAATGATAAAATTTTAGTTTGTGTACAGTGTTGTATGACCGCGCAATTGTCATTCAAAGTGTGAGAGCGCTGAAACCTGGAAAATGGCCTGGGGGGGGGGGGGGGGGGGGGGGGTAAAAGTGCTCGGTATTCAAATGGTTTAAAGCTCAGTTACAGGAAAAGTGAAAATTCAGTCTTGCAGGGAGGCTGAACCTGCACTACAAGGGTTAACTGCTTTATTCAGTTCTAGGGACATGGAAAAGTAGGTTTACCCACCCAATCCTCTGCTCCTTCACACTGCTACACCAGTCCTCAGAGCATCTACTCCTCCATGTTCCAACGGTCTAGGGTCCTGATCAGGGACGGACTGACCATTTGGAAAATCGGGCGCTGCCCGAAGGCCCGGGGTCAGTAGGGGGCCCCATGAGATGCCCCTGGTACCTTTTTTCATAGTCTTTTTTGAGTTTGGGCAAGGACACAGGGGCCCCATGATCCCCTATTGCCCGGGGGCCCCATGAGTTGCCAGTCCGCCCCTGGTCCTGATATAATTAAGACCTATGCAGGGTCCATAGTCCTGCATCAGACGTGAGGACACCAAGGAAAACTCCACCGCTGGAGCATGGATGAGTGCCATCTGCTGGGGGAGTAAAGGATTACATATGCAGAAGTATTTTTACTCTCCCTTAGACCTAATTGAGGAAACTGACCCTTGTAGTGTGAGAACGGCCCCACCGCAAGGCAGAATGTTCATATCTCCTGGAGTTGGGCTTTAAAGAGAAGTAGGATTTTTTTTTTCTTTTAAATCATACTTACCCAGGTGGGTGCGGCATCGATGTGATGCTGCATCTGTCCCTCTGCTGGCTCTACATTGAGAACCAAGCGAATAAAAACTGCTGATCGCTCAGTTCCTCTCCCGCTCTGAGCCCAGAGCAGTGACTGGAGCTGTGGTGGGGGGCGGGAGAGGCTGGCACAGACTCTCAGCAGCTCGCTAAAAGGCTAACTCCAGGTATCTGGGTAGATCCTGACTATCTGAGTAGATCCTGACTATCTGGGTAGATCCTGACTATCTGGGTAGATCCTGACTATCTGGGTAGATCCTGACTATCTGAGTAGATCCTGACTATCTGAGTAGATCCTGACTATCTGAGTAGATCCTGACTATCTGAGTAGATCCTGACTATCTGGGTAGATCCTGACTATCTGAGTAGATCCTGACTATCTGAGTAGATCCTGACTATCTGGGTAGATCCTGACTATCTGGGTAGATCCTGACTATCTGGGTAGATCCTAACTATACGGGTAGATCCTGACTATCGGGTAGATCCTGACTATCTGGGTAGATCCTGACTATCTGGGTAGATCCTGACTATCTGGGTAGATCCTAACTATCTGGGTAGATCCTGACTATCTGGGTAGATCCTGATTATCTGGGTCGATCCTGACTATCTGGGTAGATCCTGACTATCTGAGTAGATCCTGACTATCTGGGTAGATCCTGACTATCTGGGTAGATCCTGACTATCTGGGTAGGTCCTGACTATGACTATCTGGTAGGTCCTGACTATCTGAGTAGGTCCTGACTATCTGGGTAGATCCTGACTATCTGAGTAGATCCTGACTATCTGAGTAGATCCTGACTATCTGGGTAGATCCTGACTATCTGAGTAGATCCTGACTATCTGAGTAGATCCTGACTATCTGGGTAGGTCCTGACTATCTGGTAGATCCTGACTATCTGAGTAGGTCCTGACTATCTGGGTAGATCCTGACTATCTGGGTAGATCCTGACTATCTGGGTAGATCCTGACTATCTGGGTAGATCCTGATTATCTGGGTCGATCCTGACTATCTGGGTAGATCCTGACTATCTGAGTAGATCCTGACTATCTGGGTAGATCCTGACTATCTGGGTAGATCCTGACTATCTGGGTAGGTCCTGACTATCTGGGTAGGTCCTGACTATCTGAGTAGGTCCTGACTATCTGGGTAGATCCTGACTATCTGAGTAGATCCTGACTATCTGAGTAGATCCTGACTATCTGGGTAGATCCTGACTATCTGAGTAGATCCTGACTATCTGAGTAGATCCTGACTATCTGGGTAGGTCCTGACTATCTGGGTAGGTCCTGACTATCTGGGTAGGTCCTGACTATCTGGGTAGATCCTAACTATCTGGGTAGATCCAACTATCTGGGTCGATCCTAACTATCTGGGTAGATCCTGACTATCTGGGTCGATCCTAACTATCTGGGTCGATCCTGACTATCTGGGTAGATCCTGACTATCTGAGTAGATCCTGACTATCTGGGTAGATCCTGACTATCTGAGTAGATCCTGACTATCTGGGTAGATCCTGACTATCTGAGTAGATCCTGACTATCTGGGTAGATCCTGACTATCTGAGTAGATCCTGACTATCTGGGTAGATCCTGACTATCTGAGTAGATCCTGACTATCTGGGTAGATCCTGACTATCTGAGTAGATCCTTACTATCTGGGTGGATCCTGACTATCTGAGTAGATCCTGACTATCTGGGTAGATCCTGACTATCTGGGTAGATCCTGACTATCTGAGTAGATCCTGACTATCTGGGTAGATCCTGACTATCTGGGTAGATCCTGACTATCTGGGTAGATCCTGACTATCTGGGTAGGTCCTGACTATCTGGGTAGATCCTGACTATCTGAGTAGATCCTGACTATCTGGGTAGATCCTGACAAGCTGCACTCCTGTGATCCACAGCAGAAGGAGAGCCAAATAGGCTTTGGTTGTACTTCTCCTTTAAGTATTATGACAGTGTGGTGATCTGTCACCCGGGATTCTCAACAAGGCAGGTTGAGGGGCTCCGGGGTAAGTGTTTGATACGGAGGAGACTGGCTTTTTACTTTCCTCCTTTGTTTGTAAGGTCCATTTTGGGATCTGGAGCCTGGAGATTTTGAAGCGATCTGGGAGGGATGAAATCTCCAATCCTGGGACCAGGTTTTGGGAATGGCCAGGAGACTGATTGTACAGGTGTGTGCAGGCCTTTTTCATAGAGTCAGGACCAGGGTTCTGGGCTCCACCCCGGCAGAGAGGAGTCAGGAGGGCTCCACCCCGGCAGATAGGAGTCAGGAGGGCTCCACCCCGGCAGATAGGAGTCAGGAGGGCTCCACCCCGGCAGATAGGAGTCAGGAGGGCTCCACCCCGGCAGATAGGAGTCAGGAGGGCTCCACCCCGGCAGATAGGAGTCAGGAGGTCTCCACCCCGGCAGACAGAAGTCAGGAGAGCTCCACCCCGGCAGACAGGAGTCAGGAGGGCTCCACCCCGCAGACAGGAGAGCTCCACCCCGGGAGACAGGAGTCAAGAGGGCTCCACCCCGGCAGACAGGAGTCAGGAGGGCTCCACCCCGGCAGACAGGAGTCAGGAGGGCTCCACCCCGGCAGACAGGAGAGCTCCACCCCGGCAGACAGAAGTCAGGAGAGCTCCAGCCCGGCAGACAGAAGTCAGGAGGGCTCCACCCCGGCAGACAGGAGGAGCTCCACCCCGGCAGACAGGAGTCAGGAAGGCTCCACCAAGGAGAGGTGGAAGCCAGACTAGCTGTGTGCAAAGGCTATAATTTGGGAAGAGTCTGCAGGAGACAGACATCAAACTGCGTACAAGCCAGGAGGCTGAATCTCTGTTATTTTTGCTTGATGGTGGATACCTCTGCGTGGGAAGCTTTATATGACGGGACATTTTCTTTAAATAAAAGTTGGCTAAAAAGGCCTTAAAAAAAGAAAGCGAGTTGCTGTGTGCGTTTAAACAAAGCTCTACCATTTGAAGCGAGTTCCCACAGTATGGTTTAAGTTGGTTTCTGACTATGGACCAACACAACATTCCTATCTATGCCAATATATGAGGTTAATTGTGAAAATACTGTCTCCATGTAGAAGATTTCCCATAGACCAAAAATAAGTCAAGAGGCACTCTGAATGGGCTAGGAGCAGTGAAGGTTTCCCATAGACTGGAATTAATCATAGACACTCTCAATGGACCCCCAGAAACTACTAAGCAGCTCATCCACTCCCTCATCATATCACGACTCGACTACTGCAACTCCCTCCTCAAGGCCTGCCTCACCACAGGCTATTCCCCGCTTCAGTCCATCCTGAATACGGCTGCCAGACTCATTCACCTTTCCAACCGCTCCGTCTCTGCCACACCCCCTCCCTCTGCCAATCCCTCCACTGGCCTCCATTCAGTGTCCATCCACCCCTCTCTGCCAATCCCTCCACTGGCCTCCACTCCAGTGTCCTCCACCCCCCTCTGCCCTCTGTCCAATCCCTCCACTGGCATCCACTCAGTGTCCTCCACCCCCCTCTGCCAATCCCTCCACTGGCCTCCACTCATGTCCTCCACCCCCTCTCTGCCAATCCCTCCACTGGCCTCCACTCAGTGTCCTCCCACCCCTCTCTGCCAATCCCTCCACTGGCCTCCACTCAGTGTCCCTCCACCCCCCTCTGCCAATCCCTCCACTGGCCATCCACTCAGTGTCCTCCACCCCCCCCTCTGCCAATCCCTCCACTGGCCTCCACTCAGTGTCCTCCACCCCCCTCTGCCAATCCCTCCACTGGCCTCCATTCAGTTGTCCTCCACCCCCCTCTGCCAATCCCTCCACTGGCCTCCATTCAGTGTCCTCCACCCCCCTCTGCCAATCCCTCCACTGGCCTCCATTCAGTGTCCTCCACCCCCTCTGCCAATCCCTCCACTGGCCTCCACTCAGTGACCTCCCCCCCCCCTCTGCCAATCCCGCCACTCCTCCACCCCCTCTCACCACCCCCCTCTCCAATCCCTCCACTGGCCTCCACCCCCCTCTGCCAATCCCTCCACTGGCCTCCACTCAGTGTCCCTCCACCCCCCTCTGCCAATCCCTCCACTGGCTCCCGATTGCCAACGAAATCAAATTCAGACTGCTAACACTGATGTACAAAGCCGTCCACCATACTGCCCCGAACTACATCACCGACCTAATATCCAAAGTACCACCCAACACGCACACTCCGCTCCTCACAAGACCTACTTCTCACTAGTTCCCTGATCTCCTCCTCCCATGCCCGCCTCCAGGACTTCTCCAGGGCATCACTCATCCTCTGGAACTCCCTGCTCCAACCCATCAGACTATCACCTACTCTCCTCTCCTTTAGGGCACAACCCTGAAAACCCACCTCTTCAGGGAAGCCTACCCCACCCCCTGCTAACTTGCCGACCTCCTCCACTCTTCCTACCACTCCATCCCCCACAGCTATCTCCTCCTGTACCACCATCCCCTCCCTCCTAGATTGTAAGCTCCAAGGATCAGGGCCCTCGAACCCCCTCGTGTATTGTATTGGTATTGTTCTGTCACATGTTGTCTCCCATTGTAATGTACAGCGCTGAGCGAACTTGTTGGCGCTTTATAAATACTGTATAATAATAATGGGTTAGGAGCAGTGAAGGTTTCCCATAGACTGGAATTAATCATAGACACTCTCAATGGGTTGGGAGCAGTGAAGGTTTCCCATAGACTGGAATAGACACTCTCAATGGGTTGGGAGCAGTGAAGGTTTCCCATAGACTGGAATTAATCATAGACACTCTCAATGGGTTGGGAGCAATGAAGCAGCTCAGAATTCGGGTGTTCGGTAACTACAAGCTATTTGTGTTACATACACTGGGCCGCAACTCACACGGCATTACATAATGTTACTTTACTTACCATGAATGGTCTTGACCTCAAACGTTGTCTCTACAGGTTTCTTCTGATGAACAATTCTGCAAGACACAGTGGACCCCAAATGTCTGGATATAGAAGGAATGAAGGTCAACTTTGTGGTCACATGTCCTTTCATCTTCTGACTCTCATGCTTTGTCACCTGGTACTCTCTGGACATTAGTGGTTGATCCTCCTCGTTATCATTTGATCCAGTGTCGGAGACCTCATGTCGGGTGCCATCTTTAAATCTGATGACCCAAGTCACCTTGACATTCCCAGGACAGTTAAAAGCTTCACAGCTCAGTGTGGTCTTCTCACCATCACTCCATACAGGACTCTCAATATCTTTCATCAAAAACTTCTGATGACCTGAAACAAGACAGCAATGTGAGTAATATGCGTTCCATCTCAAATTACTGCTCTAAACGTATTGGTGTCCAGACCACACAGGTTCACCGCCAGGTTCCACACCGTAGGATGGAACACATTTTCAACAAACATCGGGCCATTCTTCTTCAGGACCCCATATTACAAGACATAAAAACCCTTAAATTCTTCTATTATTCCCCTCAGCTTGTGCCCCCCCCCGACTTCATCAAGATCAACAACAACACCACCATTAGTCCACACCCTCACGCCAGAGTACTTGGTGTAATCCTAGACTCCAATCTGTCCTTCCAGCCCCAGGTCCAATCCCTGACAAATTCATGTAGACTTCACCTCCGCAACATCTCCAAAATCCGCACGTTCCTAACCCCGGAAACCACTAAGCAACTCATCCACTCCCTTATTATATCACGCCTCGACTACTGTAACTCCCTCCTCACTGGCTTACCCCACGCAGGCTATCCCCACTACAGTTCATCATGAATGCTGCTGCCAGACTCATCCACCTTACTAACCGCTCCGTATCTGCTACCCCTCTCTACCAATCCCTCCACTCAGTGTCCTCCACCCCTCTCTCTGCCAATCCCTCCACTCAGTGTCCTCCACCCTCTCTACCAATCCCTCCACTCAGTGTCCTCCACCCCTCTCTGCCAATCCCTCCACTCAGTGTCCTCCACCCCCTCTCTGCCAATCCCTCCACTGGCCTCCACTCAGTGTCCTCCACCCCCCTCTGCCAATCCCTCCACTGGCCTCCACTCAGTGTCCTCCACCCCACTCTGCCAATCCCTCCACTGGCCTCCACTCAGTGTCCTCCACCCCTCTCTGCCAATCCCTCCACTGGCCTCCACTCAGTGTCCTCCACCCCTCTCTGCCAATCCCTCCACTGGCCTCCACTCAGTGTCCTCCTCCCCCCTCTGCCAATCCCTCCACTGGCCTCCACTCAGTGTCCTCCACCCCCCTCTGCCAATCCCTCCACTGGCCTCCATTCAGTGTCCTCCACCCCTCTCTGCCAATCCCTCCACCGGCCTCCACTCAGTGTCCTCCATCCCCCTCTGCCAATCCCTCCACTGGCCTCCACTCAGTGTCCTCCACCCCTCTCTGCCAATCCCTCCACTGGCCTCCACTCAGTGTCCTCCACCCCTCTCTGCCAATCCCTCCACTGGCTCCCAATTGCCCAACGGATAAAATTCAAAACACTAACACTGATGTATAAAGCTGTTCATAACACTGCCCCAAATTACATCAATGATCTTGTCTCTAAATACCACCCAACCCGTACTCTCCGCTCCTCACAAGATCTCCTACTCTCTAGCTCCCTTGTCTCCTCCTCCCATGCTCATCTCCAGGACTTCTCCAGGGCTTTACCCATCTTCTGGAACTCCCTACCCCAATCTATCAGGCTATCGCCTACTCTGCTCACCTTTAGGTGCACTCTGAAAACTCTCATCTCTTCAGGGAAGCCTACCCCGACCTCAGCTAATACTGGAATCAACTACTCCTCCTACCACTCCATCCCCCACAGCTATCTCCTCCTGTACCACCATCCCCTCCCTCCTAGATTGTAAGCTCCAAGGATCAGGCCCTCTAATCCCTCTTGTATTGGTGCTGTATTGTCTCCCATTATCATGTACAGCGCTGAGCAAACTGTCGGCGTTATAATAATTATAAAATGACATACAGGAGAGCCTCTAACTTAAAGAATAGGATAGCACCTAGTAAACTAAAATCCCTTCCATCTGTTAGTAATCTTCCCTGTCTCATGCCAGTCACTATTATGTATTCATCTCAAAAATCACTATGCAAAGCTATGCAAAACATGTCGTTTTCTGCAACATTGGCAAAAAGAGTTAACAACTAAAGGCAACATCTACACGTTGGATCATTTTTTCAATTATTCCACAGATTATGTTGTGTATTGTATATCTTGTCCATGTGGATTACTCTATATAGGCCGGACTATTAGACCATTACACACCAGAATTGCTGAACATCGCCATTTAATAGAAGAGGGCCAAGATAAATGCAGTATACCCCAGATGCACCGCATCAAAGGGACGATGGGCGGGGCAATGTACCCTCAAATCTTGGGGGAGAACCTTCTTCCCTCAGCCAGGGCATTGAAAATGGGTGGTGGATGGGTGTTCCAGCATGACAATGACCCAAACAGGAGGAATGCTGCCTATGACCCCAAGAACACCATCCCAACTGTGAAACATGGTGGTGGAAACATTCTGCTTTGGGGGTGTTTTTTCTGCTAAGGGGACAGGACAACTGCACCGCATCAAAGGGACGATGGGCGGGGCAATGTACCCTCAAATCTTGGGGGAGAACCTTCTTCCCTCAGCCAGGGCATTGAAAATGGGTGGTGGATGGGTGTTCCAGCATGACAATGACCCAAACAGGAGGAATGCTGCCTATGACCCCAAGAACACCATCCCAACTGTGAAACATGGTGGTGGAAACATTCTGCTTTGGGGGGTGTTTTTCTGCTAAGGGGACAGGACAACTGCACCGCATCAAAGGGACGATGGACGGGGCAATGTACCCTCAAATCTTGGGGGAGAACCTTCTTCCCTCAGCCAGGGCATTGAAAATGGGTGGTGGATGGGTGTTCCAGCATGACAATGACCCAAAACACACGGCCAAGGCAACAAAGGAGCGGCTCAAGAAGAAGCACATGAAGGTCCTGGAGTGGCCTAGCCAGTCTCCAGACCTTCATCCGATGGAAAATCTGTGGAGGGGCTGAAAGTTCGAGTTGCCAAACGTCAGTCACCAAACCTTAATGACTTGGAGAGGATCTGCCAAGAGGAGTGGGCCAAAATCCCTCCTGAGATGTGTGCGAGCCTGGGGGCCAACTCCAGGAAACGTCTGACCTCTGTGATTGCCAACAAGGGATTGGCCACCAAGTACTAAGTCATGTTTTGTGAAGGGGATCAAATCCTTCTTTCCCTCATGAACATGCAGATCCGTCATCATTTGTTAGACGCATTTCTGCTGAATTTGTTGTTGTATTCTGTCTCTCAGTGTTTACACCGAACATTCCATTGTTAGATCGATCGTTTCTGTGTGAGGGGCGAACATTCCATTGTTAGACCGATCGTTTCTCTGTGAGGGGCGAACATTCCATTGTTAGACCGATCGTTTCTGTCTGTGTGAGGGGCGAACATTCCATTGTTAGACCGATCGTTTCTGTGTGAGGGGCGAACATTCCATTGTTAGACCGATCGTTTTCTGTGTGAGGGGCGAACGTTCCATTGTTAGACCGATCATTTCTGTGTGAGGGGCGAACATTCCATTGTTAGACCAATCGTTTCTGTGTGAGGGGCGAACATTCCATTGTTAGACCGATCGTTTCTGTGTGAGGGGCAAACATTCCATTGTTAGACCGATCATTTCTGTGTGAGGGGCGAACATTCCATTGTTAGACCGATCATTTCTGTGTGAGGGGCGAACATTCCATTGTTAGACCGATCGTTTCTGTGTGAGGGGCGAACATTCCATTGTTAGACCGATCGTTTCTGTGTGAGGGGCGAACATTCCATTGTTAGACCGATCGTTTCTGTGTGAGGGGCGAACGTTCCATTGTTAGACCGATCGTTTCTGTGTGAGGGGCGAACGTTCCATTGTTAGACCGATCATTTCTGTGTGAGGGGCGAACATTCCATTGTTAGACCAATCGTTTCTGTGTGAGGGGCGAACATTCCATTGTTAGACCGATCGTTTCTGTGTGAGGGGGGGGACATTCCATTGTTAGACCGATCATTTCTGTGTGAGGGGCGAACATTCCATTGTTAGACCGATCATTTCTGTGTGAGGGGCGAACATTTCATTGTTAGACCGATCATTTCTGTGTGAGGGGCGAACATTCCATTGTTAGACCGATCATTTCTGTGTGAGGGGCGAACATTCCATTGTTAGACCGATCATTTCTGTGTGAGGGGCGAACATTCCATTGTTAGACCGATCGTTTCTGTGTGAGGGGAGAACGTTCCATTGTTAGACCGATCGTTTCTGTGTGAGGGGCAAACATTCCATTGTTAGACCGATCATTTCTGTGTGAGGGGCGAACGTTCCATTGTTAGACCGATCGTTTCTGTGTGAGGGGCGAACGTTCCATTGTTAGACCGATCGTTTCTGTGTGTGAGGGGCGAACGTTCCATTGTTAGACCGATCGTTTTCTGTGTGAGGGGCGAACGTTCCATTGTTAGACCGATCGTTTCTGTGTGAGGGGCGAACATTCCATTGTTAGACCGATCATTTCTGTGTGAGGGGGGGACATTCCATTGTTAGACCGATCATTTCTGTGTGAGGGGCGAACATTCCATTGTTAGACCGATCATTTCTGTGTGAGGGGGGGACATTCCATTGTTAGACCGATCATTTCTGTGTGAGGGGCGAACATTCCATTGTTAGACCGATCGTACAATTATTTTAGGCTTTATCTTTAATCCAGGTTTTAGGCTGTACTATATAAGAAGTATTTATACGTTTGTTATGTTTCTGCTCCTGTATACACCCTACAAGTTCCGTGCTGCTATTCAGAATAGTTTCCATGCTTCCCCCCCCCCTCCCCCCCGTTAGATTTTTATAATTTTCATACATAAAATATATATATATATTAGTAAAAATATTGCCACCTTTTAACCATTAGCCGCCCGGCCTATAGCCGTTTGGCGGCCGCAAAAAATGGTTTAGCTTTCCGGGGTGTACGCCATTTGACGTCCTCCCGCACATGCGCAGTTCACGCTGGGTGGTTGCAGAGCCGCGCAGCGGCGCGATCTGTCACGGGCCGTGTACCTCAGACACGGCTGATGACAGAACTGAGTACCGGCCCCCGTTGCCGGTACCATGTGACCTGCTGTGACCAATCACAGCAGGTCACATGACAGTTGTATAGAATGGATGGCTTCATTCATGCCATCCATTGTATACTAGTGCCTAGCTGTGATTGGTCACAGCGATCACATGCACATGTCATGTGATTAGCTGTGGCCAAATCACAGCTAAGCACAAAAAAAAAAAAAGCTGAATGAATCGATGTCATTCAGGTAAATGCTTGCTTATAGCAAAGTAAAATACTGATCACTTCCCCAAAGTAGTACAATGTTACTATGGTAACATTGTACTACTTTGGTCAAAGTAAAATATGAAACAAAAAATCTTAAAAGAAATAAATTTTTTTTTATAAAAATATTAAAAATAATAAAAAAATAAAATAAAATAAAAATATTTTCTTTTTTGCATACTGTCACCAGTCAGTGTCCATGTTCACCGCCATGCCAGTTATATGATGACGCTGTACTGCACTGGTGACAGGATGGAAAATAAAAAAAGTGAAAATAATTTTTTTAATTTTTTCATTTTCCGAAAAATTATGACAAAAAAAATACAGTGGGGCAAAAAAGTATTTATTCCGCCCCCAATGGTGCAAGTTCTCCCACTTACAGAGATGAGAGAGGCCTGTAATTGGCATCATAGGGAGACCTCAACTATGAGAGACAAAATGAGAAAACAAATCCAGACAATCTCATTGGCTGATCTGGAAAGAATTTATTTGCAAATTATGGTGGAAAATAAGTATTTGGTGACCTACAAACAAGCAAGATTTCTGGCTCTCACAGACCTGGACCTTCTTCTTTAAGAGGCTCCTCTGTCCTGCACTCATTACCTCTATCAATGGCACCTGTTTGAACTTGTTATCAGTATAAAAGACACCTGTCCACAACCTCAAACAGTCACACTCCAAACTCCACTATGGTGAAGACCATAGAGCTGTCCAAGGACACCAGAAACAACATTGTAGACCTGCACCAGGCTGGGAAGACTGAATCTGCAATAGGCAAGCAGCTTGGTGTGAACAAATCAACTGTGGGAGCAATAATTAGAAAATGGAAGACATACAAGACCACTGATAATCTCCCTCCATCTGGGGCTCCACGCAAGATCTCACCCCGTGGGGTCAAAATGATCACAAGAACGGTGAGCAAAAATCCCAGGACCACACGGGGGGACCTAGTGAATGACCTGCAGAGAGCTGGGACCAACGTAACAAAGGCTACCATCAGTAACACACTACACTGCCAGG